CTTTTAGCACCAAGAGTGAGTCTTCCAAAGGCGTAAGTTGAGAAATACCTTGCGCGTTATCACTCTTGGTGCCAAAAGTGAGTCTTCCAAAGCTTTAGGCTAAGAAAAGTGTTGCGCGTGATCACTTTCACCACTAAAAGTGATCACTTTAGATAGTAATTATGGTTGAGACCTTGTGTATAAACACTTTCATTATTAAGAGTGTTCACTTCAGCAGTTGTGACCCTATGCTTAAACATTTTTAGTACCAAAGTGATTAGGCCAGAAGCACGAAAAACTTATAAATAGCCTGAAACTTAGATTTTAAGGGAGCTTTTCTCATGTCTTTTTTCTTTTCCACACTCTTAGAGAGCTAGAGAGAGATTTGGGGGTGATTTTCAAAGCTCAATTTTAGAGGAATCAAGCTTACGATTTGGATATATGGAGTTTTTTCTTACCTTCTCTTCTACTCTTTCTTTCTCTTATTTTTATAGAATGATCTTTTGATTTTTGTTTTTTGTTAAGGATTGATGGAATCTATTTAAAAATTGTAAATTGATTGTTGATTTAAGTTCTAAGTTCTTGATTGTATTGAACATTAATTTTTTTTCTTAATGCGATTCTTGAATTAGCTATTCACTTAAATTGAACTTAGAGATATTACATAAATGGAAGTTAAGCGAACAAGATCTAAATTGAATGTCAAGATTTATAATATCTTAAGAATAAGTATTCATTATCTTATTGTCTCTTAATTTCTCATGCTTAATGCAATGTTTGATTAATTTACACCTAAGGAATTAGGGTAATTGATTAGATGTTAAGATCATTGAGTTAATGAATTGAACTTTGATTAACCTAGTAAAACTGATCATCAATCAATTAAGGTACTTAAGAATTCATATTGCAATCAATTTTGTAATTGAAGAATAAGTGAAATTAACTCTAACTTCAATTAAATAGTAACTTCTTTTTGAAATTCTTCATCATTTTGCTATTTCCTTCTATTTTATTGAACATTTATGCTTTTATTCTAAAATATTCAAACCTTATCAAATTTTGATTAGCTCAAATAATTTTTAATCTTGCAAATTGGTACTTGAATGTGTCAATCCCTGCAAACAATACTCGAAACTCACAATTTCATATTTTATTGCTTACTACAATTACCTAGTATACTTGTTAGATAGATTCTATAGTGAATAACGCTTCTAGGCAATCTCTATCTCATGAAGTTAATTACCCTATGCACAAGTTAGAGCTAGCAACAAATGGTCTTTACATTGAAGATTTAGAGATATTATATCTTTAGAGCGAGATTTGAAGTTAATTACCCTATCTCATATTTTGCTTTATGCTTCTTAGGTCCTTGAATGCTCTTGCCTAACCTCAAGGTGATGGCACTAACGTTCTTTGGATTTACAGTCATTTGTGTAGGTAAGTTGTCAGAACCTTGATATTGCATTTGATTTAAAGAGGAAGTTACCTGTCCAATTTGGTTTTCCAAAGTTTTAATACTAACTTTTGTTCTTTGGTGAAAATTTAGGTTGTTCATGGCCATTTGCCTCATTAGTTCCTCCAATGAAGGCTCATTCTTTGAAGGTGCAATAGTTTGTGATGGAAGCTATTAGTGTTGCTACTATTGTACATGTTAGGACTAATGATAAATCCACATTTTACCATAATTTTTAGTATGATTTTGTTAATAAATAAGTAGTAAAGTGCTAAGTAAACTTGAAAATATCATAAAAATTGATTTAATATTCATAATTGTGTAAATAGTTTTGATTTTTAGACTTTTAGTCCAATTCTGAACAATTTGACTCAAAAGTGACTTAATCCTTGTGCAGAAGCTTGAGCTGAGAATTTGAGTTGAAGATTGAAGTGAAGAAAGTAGAGGAATTGAGCTTAAAAGATGAAGAACCAAGTGTTATATGAAGGGCATAATCACTCTAAGTACATAGAGTGATCACTTTGAAGAAGAAAATTCATAAAGATCAAGAGAGTAGCTACTTCAAGTGTTCAAAGTAGCTACGCAATTGAGCGCGTAGCCACTTCAAGTGCCCAGAGGAGCTACGCAGAGCGCGTAGCCACTTTAAGCGTTCAGAGTAGCTATGCCCAAGGATAATTCAGAACTGCACAGTGCGCGTAGCTACTTCAAGTGATCAGAGTAGCTACGCAATTAAGCGCTTAGCTGCTTCAAGTGATCAGAGTAGCTACGCAATTAAGCGCTTAGCTGCTTCAAGTGTTCAGAGTAGCTACGTAAAAATAACAAAATTTTAAATATCACTTCTAAGTGTCAATTTTGGACAATTGGAGTTCTTAAATCAGTTTTAGAAGCTTCTAGAAGACCTTTGATGCTAGAATTCCCAGAGATTAACATGTAGAAAAGCAAAAGGCGGGGAAAACCATATAAATAGAAGTTAGAGGTTCAGAAAAAAGGGACTTTTGCTTCATTTTTGATATTTTTACTTTGTAATTGTTTTAACTTTCAAGGGAAGTCAGAGAGAGAGATTAGGAGCGACTTTCAAGCTTCATTTCTAGAGGAATTAGAGTGAAGATTGGGTCTTTCTAGATGTTCTTCCGCTTCTTGTCTTCTTCTTCTCTTACTTCTCTTTTCTCCGTTATAATGTTGTTCTCAACCTTTTTGGTTAGGGATCTATGGATCCAGATTTGATGTTGTGATGTAATTGTGGATTGAATCTTGATATTTTAATTGAATTGAGTATGTGATTCTGTTCTTAATGTAGTTGTGAACTAATCCTTCATTCAATTGAATTTAGAGGAATTTTCATCAATGAAAATTCAGTTTATTTCTCAGATCTGAATCATATGCCTAGGTTATTGAGATCTTAGGAATAAGTATCATGATCTAGTAATCCTATAATTTTCAGAACTTAATGCAATATTTGATTGAATTTCACCTAAGGAATTAGGGAGATTTAATTAGGTATTAGGATCAATGAGGCAAGGAATTGTCCTTTGGTTAAAGAAGTGAAATTGATTATCAATCAATTAAAATTCTCAAGAGTTCAGAACAGGATTACGTTGCAATTGAAAATCTAGTGAAGTGATTCTTAACTATTTTCCATGTAACATTCTTAATACAAAATTCGTATTATGCTTTTACAGCCAGTTTATTACTTTGGATTGTCTTTATTTCTTACTTTCATATGTTACAAACCTCTCGAATGAATTATTTTGCTCAACTAATTGTTAAATTGTGAAGCGGTAATTGAAATAAGATCCTTGTCGATGATACTTGGGGTTCATATTGAATTCCAAATTTTATTACTTGTTACAGCTACCTAGTACACTTGCTAGTTAGTTCTCCAAATAAGTAACAAGTTTTTGGCGCCGTTGCCGGGAATCTTTATTTTCAATATCATTAGTAGCAAGGAGACAACTAGATTGAGCTTTTTGTTCTCTGTTTTCTTTTTGAAAAATTTTACTTTTTTTTATACATTGAATTTCATATTACATTTTTTGCTAGTTTTCCTGTACACCTTTGCTGTTCAGTTTTATATAATTTCTACGTCACTGTATTTTGTGTAGTTACATGTTTAGATGTTATATTTCTTTCTTAAATTTTCAAAGGATATTCTGCTAGTAAATTTTCTGCACTATATTGTTTTGTATTTTCATCATTTTCTTTTAGTGTTTCTGCTGTGTTCAGTTTTTCTTAGTGTTATATGCGTGGGAAAAATAAAAATAAGACTGCTCTTGTGTTTGATCCGGACATAGACAGAACATTGAGGAGGCTGAGAAACGAATTAAAAGCAGAAAATTCAGCAAGGAAAGAGCAAGAATTGGAATCTACACCTTCTACTCCTAAATCAGAAGAACTTCAAATTCCTTCTCTTACACCACCAACACCTTAAGAGAAGATAATGGCTAACATGCATGGATACAACTCCTCTATAGTCAGACCTACCATACAAGCCAATCATTTTAAAATAAAACCAGCTTTACTCATTTAGTTCAGCAAGATCAATGTATCAAAATAGAGATGATGGCTCATCTATGTATCAAAATTCTAATTCTAGACACTCTACAGATTGCTGCAAAGTCAAGACTTTTCTTGCATAAAACCAGCTGCAAAGTCAAATGTTTTCAGAACAGATTGCTGCACTAATTCAGCAAATAAGCAACTTATAGGTTGCTCCAATTCAGAATACTCAACTTGTGATTTTTGTGGAGGAAATGATGCTAATGGAGCATGTGATGCACCTACCAATGAACCTCAAGAGAAAATTAATTATATGAGAAATTTTCAGAGACAACAACCCTCATTCCCACCTGGTTTTCAGTATCCTAATAACAGAAATCAGCAGTACTCTAATTGGAATACTCAATATTCTGCTGCAAAGAATTTTAATTATGCTTTACCTTTTTTTGGTGCAGGTCCAGTAGCACAACAATCCTATTTTCAAGGGAATCCAGCCACTTAACCTCAAAGGAATAAAAAATTCTCCAAGCTTATGACTGAAAGGTTGAATTAAATGGAGGAAACCATGCTGTAATTTATGAAAGTAACCCAAACAAGCTTCAAGAATCAAGAATCTTCCATGAAGAAGCTTGAAACTCAAATTGGACAGCTGGCTGAACAATTATCCAGCAAAGAAGAGGGGAGATTTCCTAGCAATACAGTTGTTAATCCAAAAGAACAATGTCAAGTTGTAATGACTAGGAGTGGAGTTGTTGTGGGGAGTCCCAAACCTGCTGAAAAAAGAGGAAACAATCTTGCTGCAGAGGAGAAATTAAAATCTGATCTAGATGAAGGAAATTTTACCTTGCTAAAAAGAGAAAATTCAGAAAAAGAGAGTTCTCCAAGGGCTGTAAGGAAGACAAAGAGGCAAATACTTGAGGAAGCTAATCAACCTATTGATGAGGAGAAATACAAGAGACTTCCTTACCCTCAAAGAATGCCCAATCCAAAACAAGAAAAATAATTTGAGAGGTTTCTAGATGTCTTGAAGAAACTTCAAATAAATATCCCTTTTGCTGAAGCACTTGAGCAAATGCCTTCCTATGCTAAATTCATGAAGGAGCTGTTATCTAAGAAAAGAAAGCTTGAGAATGATAAAATAGTCCCTTTGACTGAAGAATTCAGTGCTATTTTACAAAGGAAGCTTCCTAAAAAATTAAAGGATCCAGGTTCTTTTAGCATTCCATCTTCTATTGGAAATTGCACCATAGGGAAAGATTTATGTGATCTTGGGGCCAGCATCAATCTCATGCCGCTTGCTATCATGAAGAGACTTGGAATAGAAGAAGTCAAGCCTACTAGCATAACCTTACAACTTACGAACAGATCTTACACATATCCCTATGGTGTTGTAGAGGATTTGCTAGTTAAGATTGACAAATTCATTTTTCCTGCAAATTTTGTAATTTTGGACATGGAAGTGGATGTCGACATTCCTTTAATTTTGGGCAGACCATTCTTAGCTCAGGGAGAGCTTTAATTGATGTTCAAAAGGGAAAACTTATGTTGAGAGTGCAGGATGAAAGGTTGTTTTTAATGTATTTGAGGCACTCAAACATCCCAATGATGATGTTACTTGCATGAGGGTTGATATTCTAGATTCTATTACTTTCCCTCATTTTATTGATAATGCTGATGAAATCTCATTGTTAAAGGAAACAATAGTTGCAGGGAATCATTCTACTGCTGTAAAAAAAGAAGAACAATTGAGAGAATATGTGCAGCAACTGGACACCTTACCAATTATTCCTTTTCGAAAATCCAGCAAAGGAAGAACTGAAAAATGAAATGAAGGAAGAGAAAACTGAGAAACTAGAGCTGAAACAGTTACCTTCTCACTTGAGATACTATTTCTTAGACCAAGAACATGAAAATCCGGTGATTATTAGCAATGATCTCAAGGGAGAAGAAGAAGAGAAATTGCTGAAAATTTTAAGAGCCTATAAGTCTGCAATCAGTTGGCATATTTCAAATTTAGAGGGGATCAATCCAGCTTTTTGCAAGCATAGAATTCTGTTTGAAGAACATTTTAAACTGGTAGTATAGCCACAAAGAAGACTAAATCCAGCCATGAAAGAAGTAGTGAGAAAAGAAATAATGAAGTTGTTGGATGTAGGGATTATTTACCCAATTTCGAACAGCCAATGGGTTAGTCCAGTCCAAGTTGTCCCTAAAAAAGGAGGGATGACAGTTGTGCCTAATGAAAAGAATGAATTAATTACTACTAGGACTGTAACAGGTTGGCGCATGTGTATCGACTATAGAAAATTAAATGATGCAACTAGAAAAGATCACTTTTCATTGTCATTTGCTGATCAAATGTTGGAAAGACTAGCTGGACATGCATATTATTGTTTTCTTGATAGATATTTCGGCTACAATTAAATAGCGGTGGACCCTATGGATCAAGAGAAGACTGCATTTACATGTCCATTTGGATTATGCAATGCTCCCGCTACTTTTCAAAAGTGTATGCTGTCCATTTTTTCTGATTTAGTAGAGAAAATTATTGAAGTGTTTATGGATGATTTTTCTATTTTTGGCAATTCTTTTAACAATTATTAAAAGAGGGAATAGTCCTTGGCCATAGAATTTTAGAAAAAGGAATGGAGGTGGATCAAGCAAAAATCGAAGTTATTAGTAAACTGCCTCTACCAATTAATGTTAAGGGAGTTAGGAGTTTCTTGGGTCATGCAGGTTTTTATAGGAGGTTTATTAAGGATTTTTCAAAAATTGCAAAACTTCTTAGTGATTTACTTGATAAATATGCTGACTTTGTATTTGATGATTCTTGTTTGCATGCATTTTCTGTTTTGAAAGAAAAACTTATCTCTGCACCTATTATTGCAAAACCTGATTGGAATTTACCTTTTGAATTAACGTGTGATGCAAGTGATAGTGCAGTAGGTGCTGTTTTAGGACAGAAAAATGATAGGAAATTGCATGTCATTTACTATTCCAGCAAAGTCTTAAATTCTGGACAAGTAAGTTACACAACTACTGAAAAGGAACTACTTGTTATTGTGTTTGCTTTTGAAAAATTTAGATCATATTTGATGGGATCCAAAGTCATAGTCTATACTGACCATTCTGCACTTATATATTTGTTGTCCAAACAGGATACTAAGCCAAGATTATTGAGATGAATTTTCCTGCTGCAGGAGTTTGAATTGGAAATTAGAGATAAAAAAGGAAAGAAAAATGGGGTAGTTGATCATTTGTCCAGGCTTCCATTGGACAATTTAACCTCTAAATCTTTGGATATTAATGAAGAATTTCCATATGAAAGACTACTTGCTATGGAAGATCTGCCTTGGTTTGCTGATATTGCAAACTTTAAGGCCACTCAGCTCATTCCAAAGAAATTTGTTTGGCAACAAAGAAAGAAATTTTTACATGACAACAAATTTTATGTTTGGGAAGACCCTTATCTGTTCAAAATTGGGGTGGATGGTCTACTTAGAAAATGTATCCCACAAAATGAACAAGCTGAGATATTATGGCATTGTCATAATTCAGATTATGGAGGTCACCATGGGAGTTCAAGAACTGTTGTAAAAGTCTTGCAAGCAGGATTTTTCTGGCCTACACTTTTTAAAGATGCCAAGAATTATGTTGAGAGTTGTGATAAGTGCCAAAGGACAGGCAACATCTCTAGGAAACATGAGCTGCCTTTCACAAATATTTTAGAAGTGGAATTATTTGATGTATGGGGGATTGATTTCATGGGACCTTTTCCCACATCTTTCTCTTATGAATATATTCTTGTGGCAGTTGATTATGTTTCTAAGTGGGTGGAAGCCATTCCAACAAGGACAAATGAAGCCAAGGTGGTAATTTCTTTTATAAAAAGGAATATCTTTGGTAGATTTGGAGTGCCTAGATTTTTAATAAGTGATGGAAGTGCTTATTTCTGCAACAAGCATCTTGAATCAGTTTTAGCAAAGTATAATGTAAAACACAAGGTTGCTACTTCATATCATCCACAAACAAGTGGACAGGTTGAAGTGTCAAATAGAGAAATTAAACAAATTCTGGAAAAAGTGGTGAATAATTCAAGAAAGGATTGGTCAAAGAAGTTAGATGACTCTTTGTGGGCATATAGAACTGCCTTTAAGACTCCAATTGGTATGTCACCTTACCAATTAGTCTTTGGAAATACATGTCATTTACCTTTGGAGCTAGAACATAAAGCATATTCGGCCACTAAATGGCTGAATTTTGACTTGGCTAGTACTAGAGAAAAGAGAATCCTACAGCTACATGAGCTGGACAAATTTAGGCAACAGGCCTATGAAAATGCCAAACTGTACAAAGAAAGAACCAAGAGGATCCATGATAAATTCATTCTGAAAAGAGAGTTCAGGCTTGGACAACAAGTTTTATTGTTTAATTCAAGACTGAAATTATTTCCAGGAAAGCTAAGATTAAGATGGTCTGGACCTTTTCTAATCAAAGAAGTATCTCCCTTTGGAGCAATTTTAATTGAGGATCAGAAAATAGGGAGAGAATTTAAAGTCAATGGTCAAAGGTTGAAGGTTTATCATAGAGAGGCATTCACAAACAACATATCTTGTGTTAAGTTGATTTCTCTTGAATAAGAAATATGAGGCGTCAAGCTAGTGACGTTAAAAGAGTACTTGTGAGAGGCAACTCACATTTCTATCCCTTTACTTTTGTTAGAATCTAATTTAGGAATATTTACTTTTAGTTATTTTTGAATTTTAAAAATTCTGCATTTTCTGAATTTTTAGTTGAATCTAATGGTGGAATATGATTTTCATAATGAATCACATTGTTAATTGTGTTTGCAGATTTTAATTCAATTAAGATCAATGTGTGGAATTGTAGTTGGAATTATGCTCATCAAGTCAGTCAAAATTTTGAGGAAGAAGAATTGAAGCGCATCAGTCTATTCTGAAAGTTGATCAATCAAGTAGACACTTCAAGTGCATAAAGTGTCTACGCAGAACCCATGGATTTTGAATTTTGAAGTGAAGCAAGCGCGTAGCTACTCTACCCACTTAAAGTGGACACGCGCAAAATCACGTAGCTACTTTAAACATTGAAAGTGTCCACGCGCAAGGCTATATAGTAAAAGTTGAAAAAGTGATTTCTGCGTAACTACTTCAGGCGTTTGAAGTAGCTATGCACATGTTTGCGTAGCTACTCTATCCATTTAAAGTAGCTACGCGCATCTGCACGAAGCAAGGGCGCAGCTACTCAATCCATTTAAAGTAGCTACGCGCATCTCCACGTAGCTACTCTGCCCATTTGAAGTGGCTATGCGCACAGGTCAGTAGTTTAAGTATTCACTTTAATCATTTAAAGTGGTCACGTGATTTTGCACACTTCCATTTAAGTAGATACTCTGAATGCTTAGAGTAAACACGCTCACGTTTAATTCATTACAAAATTCCCAACGTGTTTACTATGCCTATTTAAAGTGTCTACTAACTCTGCATAACCATTTAAACCATTCAGAGTGATAACGCAGAAGCATCCAAACCCTAACCCTGAAAGCCAGCTCTTAAAATTCAAATTTCCTACCCAGTATTCACTGAATTTTTGTTGATTATTTGTTCCTTCATCATTTACGAGTAGGATTACATCATTTCTACACTTCAATTCTAGGTAATTCTGTCTTCAGAGCGTGAATTTGGGAAAATTTGGAAATTTAAAATTGGGGCCAATTTCTGTGAAATTATTGATTCGAATATGAAATTGAAGGTTAATGGGGTTGATTCCATGCTCAAATCATAATTTTTAATGGAAGATTAATGTTGTATGAAGGATTTTCGTATGAACATGTTGCTACATTTGTACTTGACTGTGAAACCTGATTTTTGAAGCAAATTCTTGCAAAATTTCTGCATAATTAATATCTAAAATTGCTGGAAATATTCTGAAATAATTTTTTATTAATCAATTGTGCAGAAAAGGGTTTTCAGAATGAATTTCATAGGTACTAATGTGATTTTTAGCATTGAAAATCTGTGAGCTGATTGTTCTAAAATTTTTCATCCAATACACTACACTGATTGATCCTAAATTTCACATTTTTTTATCAATAAATGTTAATTCTACACATGTTGATTGTATCACTCTGTATATTAATACACTACACATGAATAATAAGGGATGAGCTGAACATGAACATACATGTTACACCTATACATTGCTACAATGGTAATGAATTGTTGATGATTTGTAGTTGTTGATGAATTTTTAACTTGTATGTCGTCCCTGGACACAATATTCTCTGTGTTTCAATTAGAAAAATTGTTAAGATTGTTGTAATACTTGTTACAATTTTATCAAGTTCTGAAATTCATATTTTGTATATTACTTTTCGCACAGCAAAAGACATGGCAAGCACACCTAGAGGAACTCCAAGATCTAAGAGGGGAAGATTCTCAGCTGGTCCTTCTTCAAGGACTATACCTGATCATGATCCTAGATTCAGGAGCATTGCACATG